GTTAAATCTTTATTAATTGTGATTTTGCTACAGTGTGGCTAACTATGCCACCAACCTGGCTCACATTCAAGAGGTGCAAGGGGGAGGGTTAGCAGTCTATCCCGTCTATGTGCTATATGTAACATTATTATTAGCTGATAATTCAATCATCTATGGTGGAGCCTTCTAATAAATAGAAATTATATAATTTCTTTTATGTTAATTAATTATCTATGTACACATTTTGACACCAAATTCAGACAAAATGACATTTAATTTCAAACAAAATGACATTTAATTTTAGACAAAATGACATTTAATTTCATATAAAATGACATTCAATTTCATACAAAATGACATTCAATTTCATACAAAATGACATTCAATTTCATATAAAATGACATTTAATTTTATACAAAATAACATTTAATTTCATACAAAGTAATATTTAATTCATACAAGTTGATATTCAAATTCATACAAATTGATATTTAAATTTTTACAAAATAACAATTAAAATAAAGTTGATTAAATTGTGATATTTTATGATTTTGGTACAATTTAAATCCTTTCGATGCGATGATTCGAATGATACCAAATCATCCAAAGTGGATCACTAGATTACGAGATATGGGATCTTTGCTATCAAAATGACCCTCCGAGGCTATGTTGATCTTATGAATAAAAATCAAAATTTCTAGCCATCTAGTTATCCAATTTGAATGAATTTTTTTTTAATTTGTAGATTCTATTGAGATTTACAAAATAAAAAAAGTTTATTCAAATTGGATTACTAGATGGCTGGCAATTTTAATTTTTATTCACAAAATCAATATAGCCTCGGAGGGTCATTTTGATAGCAAAGATCCCATATCATGATTTAATCAACCTTATTTTAATTGCTATTTTGTATAAATTTAAATGTTATTTTGTATGAAATTAAATTTTGTATGAAATTAAATGTTATTTTGTATGAAATTAAATGTCATTTTGTATATGAAATTAAATGCCATTTTGTCTAAAATTAAATGCCATTTTGTCTAAAATTAAATGTCATTTTGTTTGAAATTAAATATCATTTTGTCTGAATTTGGTGTTAAAAGGCGTACTTGAATATTTCCCTTCTTTATTTACTAATTAATCGCCTAAGTTAGACAACTAAAGACTATACTGTATTCAGCTTTAAAGTTTAATAGCCACGATACACATATATTACAGGATTAAGGAGTGGCATTAATTTAAAGTATTTTATATTAATCAAGGACTATAAAAATAATGACTTCAGTCCAAATTGCAAAGACTTTAACTTAGATTGAAATTTTATCTTTTACAGAATGGTTTGTCTTTGTAGAAATTTTGCCTTTGGTAGGTTTCGTGGGAATGCTTTGAGATTTCGATTTTCGCGGGAGGGTCATCTTTCGTCATCTCACAAAAATAGGGTCATTTTTTTGTTTAACAACACTAACAATTACAATTACCATTGCAGTATCTTTATAAAAATGGAATAAAAATTCCTATTATAATGAAATTTTTACACACAAAGATTATCTGTATTCAGGAAAAAGGTAATATATACTGTATAATTCAATTCACATATCTAAAAATCATCAGTGGTTAAAATCATCGATTATTTGACCAAATCTAGAGTAAAGTTTGACAAAATGGTCGATAATTTGGCCGGAATTATAGCTGATTAGACAGTGCAGGTCTGCTGATATGATGTTTTATTTATTTAAGTGCAAAATTAAGTTTAATTTTATCTAGTATAAAACTGTTTAACGGGATCAAGTTGTTTACTATAAAATGTTTGATATAAAATTACAATAATTTAATGCGCATGAAAGAAAAAAGAATTTAATTAATTGAAGATTTTAACCGTTATGGATCAAGATCATAATCACACCAATTATTATTACCTTATCACTTATGCTTGCTATAAATGGAAAAGGCAAGAAGTAAAACTTTCAAGAATGATCAATGCATTCTATATTTAGTTTTCATCTATGACAGTAAGCATAACAATTTCATTCGTTTTTTTTTAAAAAATTAAATTTAAATTAATAATAATAAAAGATTTCATCAAGAAGATCACATTAAGGAGATGTGTAAGAACGCTTCAACTATATTATTCTAGATCTAATTAAATTTGATATAATCACTAGCTATTCATTTATATACTACTAGAGAATACCATTACTGCGATCTCATTCTATATTTTTATTTTTATTAATATTTCACCGTAATTTGAATAAAGCTGGACTTAATATATTCAAAAAAATTCTTTTCAGAAAAATTTATTATGTAGCTGTGTGTACACATTATTTTATTGCAGTAATCATCATAATCATCAACTATTTGCCGTCCATGAAAGATTAAGTCAGAAAATAGAACTCTGTAAAAAAATTTAATTGCTCGTATTCTGACAATTTATAGTGGCTTTGAGATTTTATTTTTCTAATCAGATTCATCAAGGATCTATACTTCTAAACATTGTCCTATGTAATATTAATGAAAAAATTAGCCGAACTTTACGGAAAAAATTGATTTCTAACAAATCTAATAATATCAAACATTTTCCTTAGTTTCAGCAGAATATAATTATCGCACATGGATAAAAATTAGTAAAATATTATAACTAAATATTTATTCACAATTTATGAAATTTTTTTTAGATGTAACTAGGTCTTACCTTGTCTTAAATTAAATTTAATGATCTTATGTTTTAACTTAATATAAAAATTGTTTTTAAATTAAATTAATTATAAAATAAAAACTACGGAAATTTCAAATTAATAAAAATGATCCAACTGAAAATTGCGACCTGTGGTAAAAATTCTACTGAATTTTTAATGTTAGAAATTTTATATAAAATCATAGAAAAGCTCAAAATATACTAATGGGGTGATTCAGAATTAAGGATCAGGTTTCTGATCAAATTAAGTTAGTGATGTATTTATTTCGAAATCAGCGGTTCATAAATCTTATTTATTATTTATACAACACCTTTTTATGATCGTGAATTTTCTTTCAGGACTTAATATATATTAAAATGTCTTATATTTCTGATCGACAATTACATATTAAAAACATAAATAGTATTTTAAAAGTACACGTTACTCTGGTTATATCGACATTTTTGAGACATTAGTAAAAAAATTCAAAATGTCGATATGGTGAGTTATATCAACATTTTATATTAAAATTTTTGAAAAAAATGTCGGTATAGAAAGATTTTACTATGGTGTCGTTATATCCAGATGTCGGTATAACCAGAGTGACGTGTATTATTAATATTACTTAAAAAAAAGTTAAGCGATAATTCGTAGTTCTTTATTAATTTATTACGATAGTATCATATGATAACAATACATCATCAAAAAAAGGTTACTCATTTATCTCCGATAACTCCTATTTCTTTTTCTAATTTTAAAAATTTAAACCTACCCACTTATTTTAAAAATAAGTTAACTCTGAAGCCCCTTAATAGAAAAAAATTTTTCATAATCTCTATCATTTATTAATTTTGTAATAACTTCTGCATAATGAATAAAAAGAAAATGGCCAAAGGCAAAAAAAACACATCCGATGACAACAGCTAGAACAAACTCGAAAAGAATTGCAGGTACATAAAAAAAAACTAAATTGGTTTATTGAATTCTTATTTGTGAAATATAAAAATTTAAATCATGTTCTTTCGAACCTTTATTATTAAACGTTAAATATTATTATTGTGCAGCCATGTTATTGACGACTGCACTAAAAATTTTCATATTTGTACAGTTTACGTCATCACTGATTTATCATCTTTTTTTTATTGCTTAAAATTTTGTCCCTAAAAAAACACAAAGAAAAGAAAAGTTTAAATTTGATGACGTAAATTATACGAAAATGAAAAAATAGTATAGTCGTCAATAACTGCTTCACAATAATACCGTTATTGGATAGGGTTAAAAATATGCACGTGGGTATCAAACGGCGACAGGTGGTTGGCTTAGATCATGCCGCGCGGCACATTCTGCGCCAATCACCTGTCGCCGTTTAATACCCACGTGCATATTTTTTAAACCCTATCCAATAACTATAAATTATATTGTTAATATTTGAAATCCGGATACTGATATTGGTTTGAAACTTAGAGATTGACGTAGAGTTATTACGACGTAATGTTTTTATCCCCTTATTCGGTCACTAAATTTATTATTAATCAATTCAAAACTAAATCTTCAAATTTTTTGCATTCCAGATCTATAGAAACATAATGCTTAATCTATCTTCCCACTATTCAACCCATCTTTCAGAATACCATAAAAATTGTAATTTTCTGTGATTAATTTCTAGAGTCAAATATTTAGAACTATATGATTATTTCGTTTTGATAACTAAGGAGGTGCACATGTACACACGCTGCATAGTGAATCCCTTCCCATCACTTTCTACTGTACGTACATACGTACGGCAACTACTATCAGCTATGTATACTTGTAGCTGATACTTTATCAGTCGAGATATATATGAATTGTAACATGGAGAACTTTAAGTACGTATTATACGTACATATTAAAAAATATCACCCGCTTTCATCATAAGACCGCCAAAAATTATATTTGCAATTACACGCATACTAATATTGCTGGTGAGACATTGTTGATGAGAGAAAATCATCACTACATTTTATTTGAGATAGAAACATGGTACTAGATAACGCCTATTTTACTTACAGTATACTAATTCTTTTAATCTCATTCTCTGATGCGAATACAGTCTAATGCTAATAGTATAGATTATGTTAATAGGCTCTAATATATTAATAGAATATTAATTAACCGTTTTGTTATTGTAAAAAACAAGAAATATATAAAGCATTTATTGCATATATTTTTTTTTTACATATATTAAACAAAATTAAGTATACATTTTACAGTATTATAGTACGTAATATTGGACATTAAATAAATTATAAATTAAATTGCTAAAGAAAAAATAATCACAACAAAAATAAATTAACATGAAAGTTTATACAATTATTGATATCGTTCGATATAATACAAAACAAACACAACCACAAGAGTAACGAATGGAGTAGCAAGAATATAACTATAAAACAACAAAGCAGAAAATTCTTCCTGATAATTATTAGCAAGTTGAGCCAAATTAACACAACTTATAGCAGTTGGACCAGAAGCCAACAAAATTAGAACAAACCACAACATAGGATCATTTATATAATAAGAAGTTGTATATAAAACTAACAAAATTCCAATAACTGGCATTATTATATAACGACAAGTTAAAACGTAAGTAATCATGGAAACCATATGTTCTTTATGAGAACGTGGAAGATTATATAATTCTGCTCCAAGAGTTAATAGCGTCAAAGGAATGGCGATGGAACCAATATAATCAATTGCTTGATAAACAGCCATAAGAGGTGCATCTTTATCGATAAGTAAAGCATTAAGTTTAGGAATAGCGATAAAAAATAATGCTAATAAAGCCGCATATAAAGGAGGATTCATGAATTTGAGGGTGAGGAATGTCTTTATATTTGATATTGGATGTATTCCTAATAGAGGAGTTATTTCAACTTGATCGTTGTTGGCTTGAAATTGATTAGAAGTACTGGGGCTATTTTGTGGGATGACCTCTTCATCTTTTTCAGGAGCCTTCTTCAGCAAGTATGCACCAAGAGACCATCTATAAAACAAATCGAGTGTTCGTATAATACATATTATTATGTATTACATTACGTAATCGATATTAAATATTTTATATACAAAACAAACCTTAACAAATTAGTCCAGAGAGTGGCAAGCAGTACATATGAAGTACCTCTTTTGACAATATGTTTAGGACTTTCATTTTCTTTCCAACTTAAGATCAAGACAGCACTTGTATTCTCAATACCTTTTAATAAACCCAAAAAGAGACTTGTAACATTATTAAAAATAATTCCAGTTATAACAAATTTTATATCAGCACAATTTAATCTTATTAATTTTCCACCAATTAAACCAAGAATTGTACTAATTAATGTAAAGACGGTGAAAAAGGCGGGAATGGGCCAAAGACTAATTAATCTTCCGATGGTAATAGAGGAAACAATGTTTGAAAACAAAAAACAAGGCATAAATATTTTTATTGTTAAATTAGCAAGATCCTAAAAATTGAAAAAATTTGTCACAAGAATTTAAACAAAGTAGGGAAAAATAGATCGTTAAATATATATTTATATGTATAAAGAAAAAAAAACCTGTTGAGTGTTTGTCGTGATTATTTCAAGTTTTGCACCCAAATAACCGATGAGGCACACTAGAAGAACATGTGAACTTGACTATGGTAATAAATAAATCAAAGTATTAATGATTATGACAAGTTATATAGTACATTATCAATTATTAATATATATCAATAAATAATACTTGAGCAGAAGCAAAAAATATTGAAGAAAGCCCGGGTAAAGTTGAATTCATTGTTGTTTGTAGAATATAACGAAAAAGCTAACGTATTTTAAAAAGCTATTAATTTTTTCTGGAAGAATTGTATACAATATATATATCAACAAACAATCGATATAACGCAATTAAATCGTCATCATTAAGTTTATTACGTAATGGATATCTGCCAATCACGGGATTACGTACTCAGTATTGTGTCGGAAAATTCTTTAGTTGCGTAACGACAGTTACGTATGTCGTACAATATGAGGTATTCAATACTGAATACGTAGTAGTGAGAAGCAAAAAAAAATCAAGAAACAAATACTCTTCTCTAATGTAAGCAGGAAACCCTTCATGATCAATAAAAGAACTCACCTGATATAATTCTTCGAATTGTGCTTATTTCATAATCCGTTCACTACTGCGCAAGATTTTAGTGTGATTTTTCGAGGTAATAATTAAATATCATTTAAGTAATGATCAATTTACAAAACGACCCAGCTTTAATGCATTCCTATAAAAATGAAGAACTTAAAACACGCATTTCACGTCCAATAATTGATACATTTGCCAAAAAAAGGTTAAGATCGGTAATATCTACATTTTTTTACTAATTTAATCACCAGTTAATAAACTTAGAGAATTGCCGTATCATTGCACAAAATTTCCGAGTGATGTAATATGCCTTTTTTCCGTCAAAGTTTTTTTTTTGGAACTTGGATGCGAGCTTATAAAACCATAGCCGGAATAGATGACGGAAATTTTCCGACAGTGGGTTAGAAATGACATCATTAAACGGAAATCCCCGGCATTTCACAATTGGATTTGTACTCTGTGCCAAGACTTGGCGCTTTAGCTTTTTATATACTGTAACTTACGGCAAATAGTATACTCTCGCCACGATTTGTACGTACGTACGTACCTGGGATTAATCAAGTATCGGTATGTATTACAAACATGATTGTAAAGACCCGGGTATTGTATATTTAAAATACAATTTATATCTTTCTTATTCTATTAAATGATTGGCCAACCTAATTGCATTTAAAGTATCCTTCTTATACTTCTTATAAACTCCACACATTAAGTACCCTCCACCCAGGGTTGGCGATGGAGCTCAATGGACCAATGGAACTGTGAATGGAACCGATGGGGCTCTGAATGGAATCAATGGATACTAGTTTTTTTAACCCCATTCGCGTAACCATTGGATTCCATTTACTTATTGCCAACCCAGCCTTCACCTGACAAGGTACCCACCGGGTACTAATCACTAGGAATGTAAGAGACCTGGCAACTATCAGCCGTAAATTACGGTAAAGCATAACTAAGTGATGTCATAAATCTGCATCTAAATGTAGGTGACATAATTATCTCATGCCAATTAGCGATGTAAACCAAACTCAAACAGTTTATGTTACCTAATTTGGGTTCGGGAGTTAACGTTTTTCGATATTTCAAGCAGAGCCAGTGGATTTTAATAGTACGTAGAAAAAATAGCACTAGCAATATCACGACAACCACATAACCAAATCTGACCGAAATTGGTTTTATTTTAATTCTATGGTGATAGATATTTAGAATTAAATAAACCAATTCCGGTCAGATTTGGTTATGTGGTTGTCGTGATATTGCTAGTTACTATTAAAATCCACTGGCTCTGATTCCAAGCCCAATTTAAACCCAAAATTTGTGCCCATTTATTTTTGCACCTCAAGGACCAATCAGCTATACGAAATAAACATGGCGCAGGACGAAACAAATGTGGCGTATGTGTTAGTGCAGGGTAATTATTTTTCACAATTGTGAAAATAATTCTCCTGCATCACTAGACAATAACAATTTATGTACTGTACCTTATGGTTTGCGCTCTAGCTAGCGATACATAAATTTGGGTTACAACGCAATTACGAATCGAATCTAGTAAAGACCTTTAGGAATTTACTAAAACCCAAACTATTTGGTCTCAATGCCAATGGCTTCTAATGATCGACTGATATATTAATTAACGTTAATTGATATAAATGTTAATGCTTCTTCTATCATTCATTCACTTAAATTAAGAACCTCTAACAGGCATACATATTATAATATATAATGGTTATAATGGAGAAACTCGTTTATCTATAGACCTGGATATAGTAACATTTTAATCTTTATCTTAACATTTATATACAGTAGAAATTTTTTGCCTTAGCGTTTTAATGGAATAATTTGGTATAAAATTTATGATATACTTTAGAGCAGTGTTGTCACTCGGACAACTCGGACAATACTCGGACAGAGTTTGACACTAAATAATACTAAATAGGGCAAGATTTTATTATCGTGACCCGCCTTCAATTATTAATTAAAGTTGTTCAGAATTGATTTTTGCATATATGAGTGTATTTTTAAGATTGGATTTGTAAGCCAGATGAGATTCGGACAGTCCGCCGGACAGTTTAAAAAGGCTCGGACATCCAAAATGTACAACACTGCTTTAGAGTACTACGTATAAATTTTCCGATGGTCATTTCTCGATAGGCCATTTAAGGCCAGGCCAATTTGATTTGGTGGTTTACATTACATTTCTTTCTCAAAAGGGGGGAGGAAAGCATGCATAGTAAATTTTATTAAAATTTTTTCAACCGGAAAATATCGGTCTGACCTTGCTCGTCTTTTATATTGGTTCATTTTCTTTCGTAATTTTTCAGACCCTTACAGTTCATACATCTTAATTCCGCCCGCATTATGTACTCTAGTCAAAATCATATATGTATATCCCGAAATTTTTTTACTAAGAAGGTAATGCAAACAACCGATTCGAATTGTCTGGCCTAACTAACATCACATAAAATGAGATTCACTAACAATTTATATCTGCAGCTAATGAAATATCAAATTGCCACCCAGGTTTAATGTTTTTCACCGTCGGTGTCATTGATACAAATATTTGTCTACTTTCCATATTTGTGGCATAAAAAAATTTCTCATGAAAATTTGCGTCATATTAATAATGAAGTTTTGTATTTATCCGTTATATAGATCAACGTTCGAGTACGCATGTACGATTTTTTTTAAGCTTATCACAGATAATTGAGATTGCAGCTGATAGTATATTCGCAATTGATTTCAACTATAATTTTCATATTTCATGAAGTAAATTCTATTAGGTATCTCAGTTACAGTTTAGCATAGCACGAAACGCAGATATTAATTATGGTTGGAGATTAAGGAAAATTATTTTGCATTACTCTACTACATTATTTATTCGAATAACTAAATTATGCCTATAATAAGTTGTGCCATTTGATAATGTGCAAACTCGGCAAGATAGTAGTAGCACATTTATATTAAAATGATTTAAACTGCTGATTAGTTCTCATAGTTAAAGTAAATGAGTATAATAATTCGAATATAGTTCATGATAAAAAATCAACTAATTTAGACCCTTATAATAGGGATGTTACGGTCCTATAAGGACCATGGTCCGGACCGGTCTTTTGGACCAAGACCGGACCGTAACATTCCTACCTTATAACCTTGGACATAATTTATCAACATGGGATAGATGTTAGAAAAGATGAGTATAAAGCATTTATTTAATACAGGAAATGAGGAGTGCTAGTGATGTGTTTCAGGTTGGACGTTGTTATTATGAAGAAATTGGAGTTGAAAAGGATGAACGTAAGGCATTAATTTATTATTAAAAATCTGCAAAGATGGGAATGCTAGTGAAACATGAGTGTTGGATATTGTTATCAAAATGGAATTGGAGTTGAAAAGAATGAACATAAGTGGAATTGTAACTAAAAGGGGGTTAAAAAAGCTTTTGAATTGTACTTGAAATCAGCTAAACTGGATGATGTTGATGGAATAAAAAATATCTGATATTATTTTCGAAATGGTATTGGCAAAAAAGGAATAATGAGGCCGAATATTGGTTTCAAGTGTAAGTTGCTAATTTTTTTTAAAAAAGGTATATAGAATACTAAATATTTAATATTTATAATTATAGTGAGAAAAAAATTTTTGTGAGATTTTAATTTTATTAATTTATTATTAATAAATAGAAAAAAAGAAATCTGCTTATTTTAATATTGATGACAACGTGAAAAAAATATCAGATGATGAGAGGTAACAATTATTATGGATTCCATATAATAAATTTGAAAACATTAAAGAGATTGGGAAGAGTTTATCATGCTAAATGTCTAATCGAATATAAGAATTCTTATGATAAATATCCGATCGAAATTAAAAAAATTAATGATCAAGAATTTTCAAAGAGATAAACTAATTGAATTTTGCTTGATAATTGAATTTAATACTAATCTTTTTTTTTTATACAAAAAAAAACGTTTTGTGTGAGATCGGATATAAAAATCCATCGTTTTTAAAATGCTACGGGATTATCGAGAGATGAATCACGAAATTATGTTCTTATATTGAAATATGCAAAAAAGAAATCTTTACGCAGTAATTTCATGAAATATCGCAAATGAAATGGGAAGAAAAGTTAAGTTTACTAAGTTGCATACAGTTGCATCTGATCTTGAAGCAATTCATTCACAAGGATTAACGTTGAGATCTCCTTAGTGGTAATATTTTGCAAGATAAATTGGATAACATGTAAGGTAGAGAGGGTAATTTGGCGAATTGCAGGTATCTTTGTGATCCCGTAATCAAAATTAGATAATTTTACCACCCTTCGATTCGTCTCATCAAGACGATTCAAATAATATAAAAATCGTTCGATTTTGATTACTGGGTCATGAGATATAGGCATCCGAATACGTCTGAATATAATACAGTATATAAATTTTTTAAGAATTTAATATACTATATCAATTTTTAAAAAATTTATATATTATATTCGGACGCCAATATCTCGTGATCCAGTGATCGAAATTGAACGATTTTTGTACCATCTCGATGAGACGTATCAATTAGTGGTAAAACTGGTTGGCTTCGAGCAATTTGCCAAATTACTCCTATCTCCCACAATACCCTCTTCCAATTCCATATACATTCGATTGTTGATAATTCGTGACCCTGTGATCCAAATTAAATAATTTTAGTGCCATTCAATTCACCTCATCGAATGGTATCAAAACCACTTAGTCTGGGCCAATAAATAATGAGGCGAGATTTTTACTAACTTTGTCAATTACCCCATTTACCTTATAGGGATTCTCTAATGTAAAAAAAGAAGTGTACGGAGTTTTTTCTTATATGGCACCAGAGATTTTACAAGGAAAACCGTATACTTAAGCAGTTGATATTTATGTTTTGGATATCATTATGACTGAAATATTAACAGGAAGAATAGCTATAGTTTTGATGAACTTGCAATAAAAATTTGCACCGGAATTTACGTCAAGTACACCTGATTGTTATACTAAATTAGCCAAGCGATGCATGGAATCAAATCCGAGAAAAAGACCTAATATTCGATCAATTAATGCATTAATTACTTATTGGATTGAAGAAATGGAAAGTTCTGATGATGAAAATGAAAAAATTTTTTAGAAGCTGATAAAATTAAACCTATCGTTGAATCTCCAAAACATCCGAACATTGGTGTAGCTGTTTAAAAAAATTCAAATCAAATACGTCACGACATGTAGTAATATCCGCGTATTACATGTGTGATAATTCCGTTTAATATATTATGCGCCGTGTCGTTATTCATAATATATATCGCATGCTATAAAGAAGAAAGTAATATTATAGGTTAATATAAATTTTTTTATAAATGTCAAATTTTGTTTAAGTTATTGAGCTAGTGCCTCTTTTCACATTTCATTTATTTATTACCTTTGTTTTCAATGTTAATAATTTATTTCTATTTAGTCTTCTAATTTAATTAATTTTAACGAGGACGATTTCTAAACTAAAATTCATCTACTATTTCTCGGGTGAATATTCTATATTCCCAGGATCATTTAATATACTGGACTGTGAAAACAAGATGCTTTATAACCGTTTCCTTACTAGTTTTATAACAAAATAACAAATTTTCAATAACAAAATTAGGATCACGATTTTTAATTTTTATTTGAATCATCTGAACTTCTTCATGATTCATCATTTTGAGAAATTAAAAAAAAAAGTATATTAAAAACTTTTATTATAGATAAACGATACATTTATTAAACACTTAATAAATCAATTACGCACACGTATACATAGTTTATTTAGTTCATTATTATCGTTACCATTATAGTATTATTGCTACCAGAATTGTGGTCTGCTACATAATATACTATAAAAATTGCGACTACGATATAGTATTTTAATACAACTGAAGTTACTACCCACGTCAATACTACCAAGAAGTTGCAACAATCAGTCGTAACTAATTACCTCAATCACTACATCCGAATCATATGTATATCAGTAAACCTATCGATGTACTAGAATTAACAGTATGAAATACCTAGTAATTTATGGAAAGTCATATCGATGGATTTGCAAAGTCTAATAAATATAAAATCCCATCAGTTATAATTCCGGTCAAAATTGGTGATAATTTGACCAGAACTTGAGTAAAATAATTTAAATTTGGCCAAATGATCGACAATTTTGACCGGAATTATAACTTATGGGTTTCTATAATAACTGATCCGCCGATATGAATAAATAAAGCTGGTAAATTATATGAGTTCAAGAACCTTATTAAATTCAGCTTGACGCAAAAATATCTTTTATTCATAATGATAATTGTCGGAGCGTAGCGGAGGACACTGTTTTTACGTCTACACTGTCGCGTGTATTCTGTCTGTTCGCTTCCGCACATAGTTGTATGCATTTCCTAGTATTAATCTTTTTCCAGCAAGTTAAAATCAACTGTGTTACTCAATAAATTGTGCTACTAAATAGTGAAACACTTATTTTTCGTAAGTCCAAAAAGGAAATTTAATTTGTTAATAAACTGAGTGCGCAAAATATAAAGGTGCTAACTTTAGAGGCTATAGTGATAGATTAGTGTTTATTATAAGTAAAAATTTTACCGTCAGTTTTAATTAGTAATCCAAGGTTGATTTAAACATTATTTTCGCGTATTTTCGTTTCATTTCATTTTTTTTCTTCTGTTCTGGAATAGCAAAAATTTGCACTCTCTGATTGGTCATTTCCTTTTTAGGTGTCTAAATTACTCACGAAAAATTAGTGCACGCAAGCAAACATTCATAAATAGTAAGTGAATATTTATAATAACTTGTTTCGTAAAAAATCAAATAATTTAGAAACTTATAGCCTCGGATATAATTATCAACATGGGATAGGTGTTAAAAAGGATGAACATAAGGCATTTGTTTATTATCAAAAATCAGCAGAGATGGGGTATGCTGGTGGAATATTTGCACTTGGCAACTGTTATAGTGATTGAAAAGGATGAACATAAGGCATACATTTATTATCAAAAATCTACAGAGATGGGACACGCTAAAGGAACATTTAATGTTGGATATTGCTATCAAAATGGAATTGGAGTTGAAAAGGATGAACATAAGGCATTCATTTATTATCAAAAATCTGCAGAGATGGGGCACGCTAAAGGAACATTTAATGTTGGATATTGTTATGATGAAGGAATTGGAGTTGAAAAGAATGAACATAAGGCATTCATTTATTATCAAAAATCTGCAGAGATGGGGCGATTGTGAATCATATAATGTTGGATATTGTTATCAAAATGGAATTGGAGTTGAAAAGGATGAACATAAGGCATTCATTTATTGTCAAAAATCTGCAGAGATGGGGTATGCTGCTGGAATATTTGCACTTGGCATCTGTTATAGGGATGGAATTGGAGTTGAGAAGGATGAACATAAGGCATTCGTTTATTATCAAAAATCTGCAGAGATGGGGGATGCTGATGGAATATTTGCACTTGGCAACTGTTATATGGATGGAATTGGAGTTGAAAAGGATGAA